GTGTTTTATAAGAAGGCCAACAAGCGTAAACTTTTGTCTGCCTGAAGTATAGTTGAGCAAATGTGATTGTTGCTGACCTGAATGTGTTCTATCATGTGTCAGGGACACACATGCATTCAGTGCAGATGGTAGCAGTTGTTGTTGAGCCAATGTTATTTTCACCAATGAGTTTGGAGGAGGAGGAGGAGGGAGCGCCTGCAGCGAACAAAGCGTCGGAGCAGGCACTTGGGGGGACGAAACAAAGGACCATGACGAAACGGGCAGAACAAGTCATTGAGTTTCTATAGCTGCTGCAATTTTGCAGGAATTCAGCATGTGGACAAGCAGCTAGCAACAGAAAGGAGCTGCCATATGTGTTTTTCGAAAACGGATCTTGAACCCATGTGAGTGGCACAACGAGTTGGCTTGCAGCATCTTCATCTATAAATATTTTCCTCCCAAATAGAATCGGAATGACCGAAGTAAATCATCCAAATGACACTTGACTTGATTGTTTTGCACTTCAACAATCATGTGGTCAAGGCAGTCTAGTAGCCTACTCATCCAAATGAAAAAGCATCGGCTCAACCGACCGGGTCCCCCCCGACGGTCGCGGAGGCGGAAGGAGCGGGAGCTGCTCCAGATGCTGGTCCAGCAGATGTCGTGAGCGATGTGCCGGAGCTGAAAGGGGGAAGGGTGATTCCGATCGCATAAACTATTTTTAAATAAAGGGACATCGCTATGGTTCAGAACAGGAAAGACTTCAATATGGTACAAGTGCCAACAGATAAAATGTTCTATATGTGTCTATCATCTAGGCCTGACAGACAAACAGGGCAACACAGGCATTTGTTCTGTATGTGTCTATGAATTTGTATCTTGAGATTCATAGCGATGGCCAGCGATGGCCTCCAACCTACTAGCGATGGCCTCCAACGAATTTGGGAGGGGGCTCAGAAGAGACGACCGGCATTGGCATAGGCCGAATTCAACCATCCCCTGATCGTGTAGGTAGCTAGGTCAGTCCCATGGAGTGTTTGGGTTGATTTGACGTGAATTTGCAGGAGCAATCGAGCCATGACACATGTGCACGTGACATCAACCGGAAGTTTGGACGGATTTGATGTGTTTTGTTGAACCATTCAAAGATTTGAAGCATGACATATCATGACACATGACATATGTTTTGAAATTTGGTTTGGTGCTTTTCTGTGTTTTTGGTGTTGGAGTCCCAGGTTGGAATCTCCACTTAACGTATTTGCTCAAGTCACGATCGACGCCTCTTGGTTACTCGTCCAACAAGTCTTCGAACACCCAAGTCTCCGGCCACATTCCATCCCCAAGACCATGAGACTGAGCAATTTGCCAACACGGCGGGTGCTTGATTTCGGGCTCAATGGGCGGCTGATATCTTCAGAACGGTGCAACGAAAGAATTGCTTTTTAGGACATCAGTTGTGTTTGAAGATCCAGGTATGCCAGTCCTATGGATGGTGGCCACACTCCCATGATGATTTGGTAGGCCTTCGCATGCCTTCGCGAGGATCTGGAGCGCATGGAGCTCGAGTTCGCGGACGGTCCGAGAACTCAATCGACACCGAAATCGCACGGCGTAAAACGCACGGCCCCTTTTGAGAGGGGTCGCCTCGCCGGCAACAGGAGTTCTGCGGGAGGTTGGAGTGGGGTCACATGAAACCACTCCTTAGTTTTTGGGGGGTCAGCAGGAGTCCCGCAGGAGGTTCGTTTTTGTGTGGGTGTTTGTATTCTTAGTCTTAAAACGATCACATGACTAGATGCCAAATATTGCCAAATTAACAATATTTATAAGAATAATAGCAATAAGGCCTTTAAGATGTCCTCCAGCGCATGGCGCATGCTCCATTCCCTGCAAAACGCTCTTGCAAACAGCAGCGACCTGCATCGGTCTACCCTGGATAGAGCAAAAGACCATGAGAAGTACCACAACCAACAGCAGGATTTTGGTCCATTCCACGACCAAAACAAGCGTGTCCTATATTCTTTGCAACGGAGCTTGCCACAACAAGCGCATAGCTATACCCCCTAATTTTTGATGTGAACTATCCCACTTGTCGCACAGTTTGTTGTGGTCCCGGTTGTGAGATATACAGGGAAGTCAGACTTCCTCACCATCTAAGAGAATTGAAACAGTTTTTCGATACCAAAACTTACTTTTCTTTCTTGCTTTCGCTATTGCCGAAGGCGGTTCGCCTGTGACAAGCTCTTTTAGTTATAAATTACGTGCAGCTCCGGCCGATATCTGTCAAACAGGCCGCCACCCAAATCAAAAGTGTCGGCAAAAAACCAGCACAAGCTGAGCTGTACAATCAACATTGGAGCCTAAGTAATCTGCACTACATACCACCATCACACGATCATTTCTTGCAAGGATAGACCACTCAGACTTCGCCCAGACAGGTTTTTGCGTCATCACATGCCCACGGAAGCGCATCGCAGGCTCATTCTGGTATCCGCACCTAGGTATTCCTCTGGGTACTTGAGAGGCTATCCAAAGGCGCTTGCACAGCACCCACTGCATGCACGCACTGACAAACAGCACGGCCTGCTGTTCAAAGGGCCAAATAGTAGATACTTTCAGCCACTATTCTTCTTCTTCTTCTTCTTCTTTATTCGATTGTTTCTAATAGCAATGGCCTCCAACCATGTGTTTTTCCTCCACCCAGCCGTAGCGATGACCTCTCACCGACCTCCGTTTCCTTGTGGCGACGGTCGCATTCACCAGACCGTCTCACCTCTGACCGCACCGGCCAAACGTCGACCTGGCGCCAGCATCGCCAGCCTCTCAGAGGCGACGGCAGCATCTCTCAGCATCTACTCGAACGCAGGTGTTCGCAGGTTGTTGACCACCCTGCAGTAGAAAGAGGGTTGCCTTAAGCAATGCCTCCCATGAGACAACTGCAGCAATTTAACTTGTTTAAGTGTACTCGGCGAATGGCACAGGCTCATTCAAGTGCACTATCAAAGCTGTCAGAGTTGAGCCGTCGCATGCTGTGCTCTTCTAACGCAATAGCACGGCCACCGGATAGCACGGGGCGTCGGAGAGCACGGTGCGTTCGGTGCGTTCGGGCCACCCGGCCACCGGGGTAAGGTCCATGCCTCGTTGGATCCAAAGGAACACTCCAGCGGAGGAACACTCGCAGCGCGGCAGGCACCAAGCACTTGCTGAACATGGAGCTCTACATCTCGTCACACCAAGTCATGCAGGCTGGGCTGCTGATTATTGAGGTGCACAATGATGGGACTGGTGAGGTAGGCTACAAGCAGTTAGAATATTTGCAGCAATGATCAGGAAGTTACAAAAAGTTATTCTACAAGCAGTTACGAAGTGTCGAAGTGTTGATTTTCCTCTCACACCCATGGGTGGATTTCCCTCAAGTCTGACAGCGAACAGGTTAGTTAGCTTAGGGGCGCACAGGGTTAACCTGGATAGGGGATGATAGGGGCTGATCCTGTGAAACTACAGGTTATCAGCCGTAGGCTGAGAGCTATGGATTGCAACGAGGACAATGATATTGACCAACAGTTATGAGATGGGTTTTACATTGTACCCAGTCAATCAGGCAGTGAAGCAATAGCACCAAGAAGCTATATTGTCAGAGGTACCACAAACGTGTTTGGCTTACCACCCCATATTGCTCCTGAGGCACACCTTGAAGTGTTAGTGGAGCAACTCCTATTCAGCCATGCGGTGGCATGATGCGCCTGCCGTCGACCCAAAACGTATTGGCCATGACAAAGCGCAACATTACCAAGCAGGGCAGCACCGGGAACCAACGAAGCGCTTCTCAGACAAGAGCTCCAACAACATGCTAGGCAGCCCGGAGAGCACGCAAGGCAAGAAGCTGAACTGGAAGCACTTCGGTTCAGGAATGTGCGTGAAAGAGATGCTGTTCTCAGAAGCAGACGTGAAGCTGAAGAACCTGTCGAAGCAGAGGACAAAGCTGCTATACGCCACCTCACAGACATGCTGCGTGGACAACAGGCATACTTCCAGGCAAGAGCAGGTCAGGTACAAGATGAACGTGAAGCAGCAATCTCAGAGAAGAAGCAGGGAATAGCGAGCAGCGAAAGTGGAGTAGCGTGTGTATTCTGAATATCACCGTGAAAAATTAACAAAAATTTCTCAACGAGAGGGAAAGTACCAGGCAGCCATGGTTACAGCAAACGAGGCAAGAACAGATGATGCTGACGCAGCTTCGCATGGGTCTTAGAAGTATACGCCGTCAGCGAGGATAAGTTAAGAGTAGCAGCTGCAAAGCTAAGTGATTTCGGGAAATTCCGCACGCTATAGATACAAAGCTTGATGTCGTAATTAAAGGTACTCTCACGATCTCTACGTTTTTTTGTATTACTGTATAGATATGCGTGTGTGACCTAAGAACGGAATGAAGATAGGTCCCGGCGTCGCTCGAATTTAAAGTCTAAGAAAATTTTTGGGCTACTGCATGCTTCTGTAGGAACGACCCGGCCAGCTTCGCGGTTGGACAGGGTTAACTTGGGATAGGGCTTGGTCCTGTGAAACTACACAAAAGCTACAAGCTGAATGAAGGTAGTGCCCCGAATCGGACCGCCCCATGGGATGGACCGAAATTGAAATTGGAGTTTCTTCCTCAGAGGCAGCTGTGAAACAAAACTCTGGATAGACTCCATTCTGGCATTTGAAAGTAGCGTCGTCGGCGTGGTTCTTCTTTCTTCCAACTGGATCGCGTATTTCTGAAGACCGTTTGCCTCGCCGCAGCGCATCCTGGACGTGGACGCTGAGAAAACTTTATCCATTGTTTGATTAAAGCAGAAACCTTGTAAAAACATGTGCAAATAGAAAGGTTACAATAATTTCTATTTATATATTCAGACACGTTTTTACCCAATGCGTAGCGAAGGGTTCTCGTTTAACTCTGGGGGTCTGGGGGTAGCGCCTTGTTCGCGAGCGTTCGCAACCGTTCGCAGGTGGAGCGCTATGTGACGTTGGGCGAAGCTTTTGGGGAGGGTTTGGGATGGAAGCGTGACGTGTCAGAATCGTGTGAAATAGCGAGGAAACGTGTGGATGTGGAAACGCGAGACGATGAAGTGTGGAGTGGAGGATGAAATCACTGCGTAGGCGCAGCGTTTCGTGATGGTGAGTTTTCTGCGCAGGCAGTCACATTGGGTTGGAGTTTGGAGAGTGTTTTTGGGGTGTTGGATGTGGCTGTGACATTGGGATTTGTGTTTCAAGGTGTTGCATCGAAGCTGAACTTTTGTGCTGAGATAGCAATTTTGGTGGATGGGAGCGTGCTCAGAACGTGTCGAAATCATTCCAAACGCAAAATTGGTGAGGCTCACATGATATGATATTGTCACTTTTCGTGGCAGGTGCTAATTTGTGCGGGTTTTGAGGTGTGGAAGTGCACTTTTCAAGACAGTTGCAGGGAATCGTGAGGTTGTGAGGTGTGGTGGATGTCACATTTCGTAGCAAGTGCAGTACTTTGTGTATGTGTTGGAGGTGTGGAGATGGAAGTTTTCGTGGGAGCAGGGAATCGTGAGGTTGCGAGTTGTGGTGGAGGAAGCCTTGTGCGAAACGCTCGTTTTGGAGGCTTGACGGTGAATTTTGGAAGAATTACGAAGCGCTCGTTTTGCAGACTTATGGGTTTATTTTGATGAACATATAGAAACTATATTTTTGTAATTGATTAAAGTTAATACGTATTCTATAAATACTACATATATCTATATATTATTGATGTTTAATATTTATATTTTTGTATATTTTTTATCGATAAAATATGATAGAATATTTTTCCGATATTTGATATACTTAATAAATTAGGTATGCGACGATTATTTATATGCTTATAAAAAATATATATTTAGATTAGACCTAATATTAATTTTTGGAAAGATTTTAATATTAAAAATATTTAGGTTTGCTATAATATTTAAATTGCTTTAATGATTTTTGTATTAAATGTATTATCGAAATTTAGTCGATAGGTAAGGTTTGAGCTTTTAGGGTGAACGAAATGAATTAAGGAAATATGGGGGGTGGGGTGGTCGTTGAGTAAGATGGATGTAGAATTTGGCGGGGGAAAGCGTTTTAAAGCGAGGGTCCGAAAAATAAAAGGGGGTTTGGTGGTGCGAATGATGTAATGGTTGTCGAATAATATATTAGTATTATGAAGGTTTTTGGAAATTTTATTAAATTTATAGAGAATCGAAATTGATATGAAATTAAATCCATGAATTTGGATTGAATTTCGGGGAGAATGTTTACGAAATTGAATGCGTATTCGCATAGAATTTATGTTCGCCTAATATATATATATATATTTAAAATTAGTGAACGAAACTTCCGTGTTATGGATTACGGACATTTAGGAACTGTTTTTGCACTAATTATTATTATACACCACTTATTAAAAAGCCACTCATTAATATACCATTTATTATACCCTATTTATTATGCACTACTTATTAATATACCACTCATTATATACTACTTATTATACATTACTCATGATACACCACTTATTATACACCATTTATCATATATTACTCATTATTTACCACTCATCATACACCATTTACCATATACTATTTATCATATTCCTCATACACTTATTATATATTACTCATAATACACCACTTATTACGCACCACTTATCATACATTACTTATTATATACTACTCATCATACGCCACTCATCATACACCACTCATCATACACCACTCATCATACGCCACTCATCATACACGACTCATTATATACCACTCATAATACACCACTCATAATACACTACTCATCGTCTAGTTAACTCTAATTTCAAAAGTTCTAGCTCTAATTGGTTCTAGTTGCAAGAACTCTAGCTCCGGGTAGCTTTATTTTCAATAGCTTTAGCTCCAGGAAATTCTAGTTTCAAGAGCTCTAGCTCCAGTTAGCTCTAGTTTCAATAGCTCTAGTTTACGTGGCAGGTGCAGCACTTTGTGAACCTCCATGCATATAGCTTTAGTACGTGGAGGAATCTGTGGGGCTGGAAGCTGAGAACTGGTGACTTGGTAGTACAACCTTAGTAGGTGGAGTAGGCTGGGGAGCTGGAGGTCGAGAACTGATTACTTTCTAGTATAACTTTAGTACGCGGAGCAATTTGTGGAGCTGGAAGCTGAGAATTGATGACTTTGTAGTACAATTTTAGTACGCGGAGTATCTGGGGAACTGGAAGATGAGAACTGACGACCTTGTACTACAACTTTAGTACGCGGAGTATCTGGGGAGCTGGAAGATGAGAGTTGGCGACTTTGTAGTATAATTTAAGTACGCGGAGGAGTATCTGGGGAGCTGGAAGATGAGAATTGGCGACTTTGTAGTACAACTACTTGGGGAGCTGGGATATAAGAATTGGCGACTTTCTAATATAACTTTAGTACGCGGAGCAATTTGTGGAGGCTGAGAATTGGTAATTTTGTAGTGCAGTTTTAGTATGCGGAATATTTGGGGAATTGGAAGATGAGAATTGGTAATTTTGTAGTATAACTTCAGTATCTGGGGAGCTGGAAGATGAGAATTGGCGATTTTTTAATATAACTTTAGTACGCGGTGCAATTTGT